CAGGGATGCATATGACTGTAGTAGACAGGACAGGGTATTCATATACCTGTTGGAGAGAAAATGGGGAATGCATATGGCTTCAGTAGACAGGATGCATATGTTGTAGCAGAGATGACAGGGGACGTGTTTCAGTAGAGGGACATAGCACGCATATGACTGGAGTGGAGAGGACAAGGGGTGCACTATGCTTGTTGCAGAGAAGACCCAGAATGCATATGCCTGCAGTGGAGAGGGCAACATATGTGTATACCAGCAGTAGTAGGACAAAGATGCACAATCATGCAGTAGAAAGGGCAAGGTATGTGCACATGACTGCAGTAAAGAGGCTATAACAGGGGATGCTATGCCTGTTTTAGAGAGAGCAGGGAATGGATATATTGCAATAGAGAAGAGAGTGTATGTGAATGCCTGCAGTAGAGGACCCTGGATATGTGTCCCTGCAGTAGTAGAACTAGAGGTGCATAAACTTGCAGCAAAGAGAACAGAAGATGCTTAGGTCTTCAGTAGAGAGGACAGAGGATGCTTGTTGTGCAGCAGGCAGGGCTGGCTTACACAAGCCTGCTGTAGAAAGACAGGGAATGCAATACTCCATTACAGAGAGGGCAGGGGGTATACATGCCTGTAGCAGAGAAGACAGGAAATGTGTAGGCTTTCAGTAAGAGCACAGGGTATGTGTATGTTGCATTACAGAGGACCAGGTATGACTTTGCCTGTACTAGACAGGACATGGCATGCATATGACTGCAGTAGAGAGGACAAGTGATGTGTAGGCCTTCAATCAAAAGGATAGAGGATGTCTTCAATAGAGAAGACAGAGTTGTATGCCTGCAGTAGAAAAGATTCCACATGGGTGTCTGCAGTTGTATGACAAGCAATTGAATAAGCCTGTGGAAGAGAACAGCGGATTCACAGCCTTCAGTAGAGAGGAGAGCAGATGCTTATGACTGCAGCAGAGAGGACAGGCAATGTACATGTTGCATTACAGAACATAGATTACATGTATGTCTGCAGAATAGAAGACAAGGCATGCTTATGACTGTAGTAGAAAGGATACGGGGTATGTATGAGTTCAGTAGCAAAAACAAGGGGTGTGTATGCTTGCAGTAGGACAAGGCATGCACATGGCTTTACAGAGTATGGGACAGCATAGGATATGTATACTGCAGTGACAAGGACTAATGATGTGTATGTCTGCAGTACAGATGATAGCAGCTGCATATGCCCACAGCAGGGGACAGGGATGTGTGTGCCTGCAGTTGAGAGGTCAGGGCAAGAGCAGGCCTTCCATAGAGAAGACAGGGGACAGATATGCTACCATATAGAATGCAGAATGTGTGTATGTTTGCAGTCCAGAGGACAGTAGGTTAATGGGAGATTCTTGGACCTGTAGCAGAGAAAACACAGAATAGGTATCTTGTATTACAAAGGACATGATATGTTTATGCCTCCACTAGCGAGGATAGAGCATACTTATGACTGGAGTAGCTAAGATATGGAATGTGCATGACTGCAGTAAAGGAGACAATGGATACAGGTACCTGCAGTAAGAGGACATAGGATACATATACCTGCCATAGAGTGTACAGGGGCATAGAGTATACAGGGAAGATCCTGGATACATACGCCTTCAGGAAAGAAGATAGGCAATGTGTATGCTACATTATAGAGGACAGAGTATGCGTATGCCTTAGTAGAGAAGACATGGCACATTTATGATGTCAGTAGAAAGGGCAGGGAATGTGTATGCCTGCAGTAATAGGATGAGGTTTTGTAAGTTTGCAGTACAGAGGATAGGGATGTTGTATGATGTTGTGGAGAAGACAGGACATGTATATGAATGCTGTAGACAAGACTGAAGATGTGGATGTTTTCAGTAGAGAAGACATGGGACATGTATGCCTGCAGTAAAGAAGACAGCAGATGTATATGCCTGCAGTGGTAAAATAAGGAGTGCACAGGCCTGCAGTAAAAAAAAACATGGGGTACCTATGACCCTTCATTAGAGAGAACAGGATACTAATGGTATGATGGTGAAGACAGGAAATATGAATGCCTGCAGGAGAGAGGACAGGGATGCACATGTCTGCAGTAGAGACGAGTGATGCTACACACACGTGCAGTAGGAAGAAAGGATAGTGTGGCTTGCAGTGCAGAGGACAGGGGATGTGCAGATCTTCAGTTGAGAGGACCAGGGTTGTGTAAGTTGCATTACACAGGATTAGATATGCTTAGGGGTATGAGTGCAGAAGAGGACAAAGGATACATATGCATGCGGTGGAGGACTAGGGTTGCCTGTGCCTGCAGTAAAGGATAGAGCATGTTTATGACTGTAGTAAAGAGGAGAGGTGATATATAGACCTTCAGTAGAGAGCACAGGGAATAAATCTCTTGCATCATGTAGAACAGGATGTGAAAATCTTGAAGTAGAAAGAACAGAGCACGCTTATGTCTACCACAGAGAGTATAGTGAAAGTATAGGATTGCAGTAAAGATATTTGATGCATATGCCTGCAATTTGAGGGTAGGGGATATGTAGGCCTTTATTACAGGTGACAGGGAATCCTTAAGGTCCAACAGAGAGGACAGGGAATACATATGAGTGAAATAGATAGGACTCATTATGCATATGTATGCAGTAGAAAAGATAGGAAATTGTAACAGTGCAGAGAGAGGCCAGGCACTTGCAAGCCTGTAGTAGAGGGGACAGGGATACAAGTGCCTGCAAGAGAGAGGAGCTGGAGCGTGCCTGCAGGAGAGAAGATGAGATCACATTCCTGCGCAAAAAGATAGGTGTTGCATAAGTCTGTAGTAGTGAGGACAAAGGATTTGTAGTCTATAGTAGAGAGGACAAGGGAAGTGTATTTGCAATAGCATGGACAGGCTATGCATATGTTGCAACAGAGAGGACAGGGGATGCCTAGGCTTGCAGTGCAGAGCACAGGGAATGTCTAGGCCTGCAGGGTAGGAGTTGATTTCTGACATATCATATAAACTTTGTTACTCCTTCAGAGTGGTATATTTAATAGAGTTTGAGAAATAAGCCTGTGTTTACTGTTTTGCTCTTTTCTGATTAATGGTACTGCTCTATTGAATATTCTGTTTTGATAAGTTCTATAGTGTTCTATACTTCATCTCATTTTGATATATGTGATTGAAAGAACAACTATTATAAATATAACAAAATATACTGTGATACCTATTACTGTTATCCCGGTAACCTGCTGTGAAGTTCTTTTCTGTACTGTACGACTTCTGTACTGTACCAATTTCACTGTACGACCTTACTTGGCTTTATTCTGTCTTGTTCTGTTGTATACTTTCAAAATAAAATTTAAAAAAAAAAAGAAGCCAGTGTTGCTCTTTTGGAAAGGGCTCTAATTTGTCAGTACATAATAAAACCTTGAATTGCAAGTAACTTGTTCAGGGAGCCTTTCACAGGACAAGCAAACATTTCTCTTTCTCCTCACCCTGCCTTTCCCTTCCCTCTCTCCCCTCTGAAATTATGAGTGATCATCTCCCACCATTAAGGTTATGGAGATCCCATGGGCAGAGGAGGAGATAAGGGCAAAGGAATCCCTCACTTCAAATGAGATTATGGAGTTGTGTAAAATGTGAGAAATGGTACAAAATTTTATAGACAAAAGCACCCAAATAAGGCTATAGCAATGCAAATTCTGCATCTGTTTAACAACAATGCAATGTCACATTTCCACCTAATCTTCAAAAAGAGGCAAGAGTAAAGTGTTGTTGGATAGGTTCCTTGTTAATGCTGGTTTAAAAAAAAAAGATTCCTATGGAGTTCACAGCAGTGATTGTATTAATGATAGTGACAGTTGTCCTTCAAAATAACCCTCCTTTCTGGTCTTCCTCACAACCACCACAATGGTTTTCAAAGTTAAGTGCAAGCTAGTTTTGTCCATTTTTATTTATATTTTATTTATAGTTTGTTATTTTGTTTTATATCACAATATTGTAACCCTTTCATTTGGATATTTATTGTTATATCATGAATAATGAGTTTTATTTCTTATGGGGAAATTTGCTTTGATATATAAGTGTTTTGGATTATAAGCATATTTTCAGAATGAATTAGGTTTGCAAACCAGGGTTTTACTGTGTATGATTTTCTCTTTCCTACATTGCCCCATTCTATTTGCTAACATTGTGATGAGGATTCTTCTAATGCATACTTCTGGGTCAATGCCTTTCATGAAAGGGAATGAAAACTTTCTAGAACTGTTCTGTCATTGAGGTGCCAAGTTACTTGGCTGCATACATTTCTCAAAACTTCTCAAATGATACAGTTAAAAGTTGTACTTCTCAGCTGGGTGTTGCAATGTACACTTGGAAACCCAGAACCCTCAGAGGCGGAGACAGAAGAATCACAAGTTTAGGCCCAGCCTGGGCAATTAAACCCTGTCTCAAAACATAAAATTAAAAAACCCAGGGATGTAGCCCAGAAAAGAAGAAACAATGTATTCATAGGCAAAATAACAAGATGTCTAGAATTTAGAAAAAACAGTACACCACATAAAAAGAATAAAGGGATAATAACATTTTTTTTTTTTTACAATACCAGAATAACAGAAAAAGTTAACCAAGTTATTAATTGTCCTCTCAGCTTTACTTCCAAATTTAAACATGGCCCGTGTCCAGCAAAATTAGCTGCCTTGGGAGCGCTGGCCGCAAGCCGGGCGCAGGCAAGATCCAGGCTTAGGACCCAAGTGTCCCGCTCCAGGCACCAAATCCGCACCAGCGGGGCCCAGGGCAAGGCGACGGGGAGAACAGGCCGCGAGAGGCCCGAAGACAACTCCGAAGACCAGCGAGGATATAAGGACTGCTGTCGCCCTCCGGCAATGGGAGGGACCCGCGGCTGTGTACCGAGGGCGGCGAGAGCCAAAGGCCACAGCCGATGGGCGGGGTGGCGAGAAAGAGAAGGCCTGTTGTGCGCACGCGCGGTGAGGTGCACCATCCACAGTCTCGCGGGATTTCGCCGTGCTAGGCGCGCAAGTACGCGATACCCAGCGGGAGTTCCGGAGCGGCCATGGCTGGTGGTTGCTGATGCTCTGGGCCACGCGAAGCCAGATGACCTCGCGGTCCGACCACATCCTCCGCCCGCGGACTCTTGGTGCTTGGCAAACGGCGCGGCGGGTCGTGCCCGGGCGTCCGGGCCATGGGGTTGACCCGCGTGAGAGCCGTGTTCTTCGATTTGGACAACACACTCATCGACACGGCTGGGGCGAGCCGCAGGGGCATGACAGAGGTAACGAGCGCCACGTCCCGTGCGTCTGCGTCTGCGCCGGCCGCGGACTACTGCTCGAACCGGGAGACCTCGGCTCCGGTTTACTCGTCGGGGCCCGGCCACGGAGACGCTCCCCAGAGGGACCTTCCTCGTGGCGCCCCGCCCCAGGCCAGGAACCCCGCCTGGGGCCTTTCGCTGCTGACCCGGACGTGGCCTCCGTCTTGGCGAGGCGCCCGGTTGCTGCTACCCGGACCACCGGACCACTGTCTCCCGGTTCTGCGAGTGTCGTGGAGGCCTCCCTTGCTTTCCTCTCAATTGCCTTCGGCTCCTGGGAGAGAGTAAAGAATGCCCAGATGCGGAAAAACCACTTACCAAAGCCAGTGCTTCTTGCTTCATCAGATAGCTCAGGTCTTCCCAGGTCTTCAGCCTCTTCACCCATTTTTTCCTGACACATTCTACACCAGCTGCATGTTCATGTCTGTCTTGTACTTTTAACTAAAACGAACACCTTCCTGGGACTCCTTCCTGTGGTACATGTGTTTTCTCTTGACAGCACTGTTGTTGGGAGAAATCCGTGACTACAGTCTCCATGTCCCTCCCACCTGTTTATTCCTGAGTCTTTACAAGGAAGCATCTCTCTCTACCACTGGAATGAAATAGATTTACCCGTCATTAGGGCCTTCCAGGGTGCCAGGGTTCCTGGACATCGCGAATGGGGGGGGGGGCACGTGGGATAGAACTCTTTTCAGTGTGTCTTACCACTTTTATTGATGCCTTCCACTGTTAACTGTCCCATCTTCACATTGAGTGACATTTCTCCCAATACGTAACTGAAAGTATTGTAACGAGTTACTTTTCCATTCTGAGCCTAGAATCCTTATTCTAAAATTTGCATAACTATTAGTTCAGATTAGTCATATCAGATAAGTTTGATGCAATGCATGGGAATTATGTGGCATTCTGTGTTCACTCTGTGAATTATGCCACCATCCATCTTGGCCGCCACTCTGCAAAAGACTCGATCTCTCATCTAGACCATAGCCTGACCAGGTCCAGTTCATCCTCCATGTTTCTGCCACAGGGTGACTTTTAGATCAAAAATTTACCTGCGAGGTTGAAGCAAGAGGATCACATGAACCCAGAAATTCAAGACCAGCCTAGGCAACAGTGAAATTCTAACTAAAAAAACAAACAAAAAAAGGCTATAATTCTCCCCAGTCTTTGCACCTTCAATTAAGTTAGTACCACTCTTTGTTGCTGCAAATATAACATCAAAGTATGTTACTATTTTGCTTGGAACTAAATAATGAGGTTCCTGGGAGGGAGTATGCTGTCTTAAATATCTTCATTTGACATATGGCAAGTAATGAACAGGTATACTAGGTAGGTGAGCAAAAAGTCTGATTTCCAGTCTTGGTTTATTACCCCTTGTCTTAATTACTTTTCTTGTTGCTGGGACAAAACATCCTACACCCAGAGTTAAAGGATGGGGGCTGGGGATTTAGCTCAGGCGTATAAGTGCCTGCTTTGCAAGGGCGGGATCGTGAGTTGGATCCCTGGTACCAATTTAAAAAAAAACAAACAAACAAAAAAAGCAAAGTTAAAGGATGGAAGGTTTATTTAGCTCACAGTTTGCAGAGGTTTCAGTACATAGTCACCTGGCTCCAAAGTAGGGTGGCATATGGCAGAAGGACAGCCATTCATGGTGGCTGAAGACACCAAAAGCAACAAGAGCAAGCCTCTTTTCCTCCCTTATATTGTATGCATGCTACCCTCCCTAGGGCAGATATAGCATTCACATCCCTAATCCCAGCATAGACAGTGAACCAATCACAATCTCTAGATGAAGCCACCTCTGAAAAGCCCATCCCCCACCATGACTGCATGTGGCTTGGGGATATCTAGACACAAACCATAACACTATGAATAGCCTATAAAATGAGTAGAACTAGATAGTGTGGATACTTTATCATGAGGGTGCCACACCAATCATAACTTTATCTGCTCAAAAGTAACCTGTTACCTGTGGAGGAATGGGGAAATGGAGCAGCTTTCACTTTGAGTTTGGGAGAAAGGACTCATGACTATGCATCAATTTTAATTATTTTTTTTATCATCTAAGATTTCTTTTTACCTTTGTCAGGTCTGTCTTCCAGTGTCACTACACAAAAAGAATCCTTCTACAGAAGTTTAGTTTCTTACAACAAAACAAAAGACTTGTGTATTTGTGAATTTACTTTTGGGGGATGACAATACACATAATAAATATATTTCTAGGTGTTTTAGAAAAAGTAGACAGGAAAAGGAATTGCAGTTTTTAAATAGGCTGGTCAATTTTTACCTCACTGAGTCAATGATATTTGAGCAAAAGCCTGAACTAAAGAAATAATAGAAGGATTACTTGGATTACTGGGTTGTGCGCAGGTACTCATCATACTTTATCCCGCCCCTTCACATCTGAATAATCATTATTCAGAAAATACTTAAAGTATTACTAAGTGTTATATGGTTCTCAAACTAGCCCTTAAAAAAAATGCTTTAAAATCCACTTGCTAAACTAATATTTTTTACAGTAACTTTAGTTCTGGAAGTAGGAAATAGAAAATAATGCTTCCTTTTTTGTGTATGTTCAGAAAGCACCTTTCAGTTTATTTTAATCTATAAACTGGTACTTCCTCTCTATCATAGTAGAAAGCTTCAGGCCTAAAGATAATCTGTGGGCTCCTGGTGTCAGAATCTTTTTAAGCCTGCTTTGCCCCATGTCTTCACACCTCCAAGTTGAAAACCTCATTCTCTTGATGTAGGGACTCAGAAGTTTGGAATAATATATGTTGATTCAACTTAGGTTGATTCAACTGCAGTTGAATTGAATTGATTGAATTGATTCAACTGCAGATTTTTTTTCCCTGAAGATGTTCATGTGATTAAAATGTATGTCGTGTACAATGACTGGGGCCTGTAATGATGGGGGCAGGAGGATCACAAGTACAAGCTCAGTCTAGGCAACTAGCAACGCCCTGTCTCAAAAATGGGCAGGAATGTAGCTCAGTACAAGACTTTGATTTGAAGCTCCAGACCCCCTACACAAGAGTAATTTAGTTGCTGTTACTAGAAAAGACATAACCATGGAGATTGGAAAATCTTGAAATGCTCATTGAAATTTAACTTTGCAAAGCATAATTTTTCAGTGTTTTGCCTTTATCTGAAACTCTTAGGGCCAGTATATTTCTCAAGCTAGTAAGACTTTTCTAATTAACACAAAGAATGTGAAAAATAATTATTTTTCCTTTGTTGTAAGGAATTCTTAACCTGAGGGAAGAAAAATGTATATATTTAATCTCTTTTTGCTTTTCAGTAGATGAATTAAGTTTCTGGTGTGATTAGAATGTCACTTAACCCCAGTGTCATTCAGGGCAACACATTTTTACTTACAGGACTGCTGTGCTTCAATAGCACACCCTGGAAGGCATGTCAGGGAAGATGCTCAGCAATGAGGCTGGAAAGGTGATCTGGAACCATCCTGCAAAGATCCTTTGAGCTCATGCCAACAAGGGGCAAAAACTGCTAGATAAATACCATGAGTCTCTTACCTTTGCTCACACCTTGGAAACCTGTTCACCAGTACATCTGTTAAATAGATTCCTCCCCTCGTGTCTTATTCCCTACATCTCTCAGCACTTCATGGTGCCACTTCCCAAATGAAGAACCTGCATCTGAAACCTGTCTCTGGGTACAAGCCAAGGAAAGTCAACATCATTGGAGATGATTGTGACATATTGGGCTGGGATTAAAAAGTATCTGCTGTGACGGGCTAGGGACATAGTTCAGTGGTATATGACATAGCTGGAATGTAAGAGGCTCTGGTTATCACTAAGCAACTACCAAAAGAAGAAGGCAGCTTGTTATTGGCTGTGGCTCTGTGTGAAGAACTTAGAATAGAAATTGGGTTTATATATATATATATACATGTGTATGTGCATATACGAATATGAATGAGTTGTTTAGAGAAGTTGGAAGATCTTCACCATGGTGCCTCCAAAACCAAGGCCAACAGCTGGGATGGAGCTGCTTTAGACTCTCAGCTGCTAGAGGACCACAACTTCTTGGGACATGATTGTTAAAGACACAGAGTGCTTGAATATATGTGTGTGTGCGTGTGTAACCCAAGGCCTTCACATCGAGCTGTATCCCTGCCCTCCCCCCTTTTTTATTTTGAGACAAAGTCTTGCTAACTTGCCCATGCTGAGCTCAGAGTTGAAGTCCTGCCCTCAGTCTCTCAGAGTGTTGAAATTACAGGCATGTACCTCATTCTTAGCTACAAAGTACATTAACAGTTACTTTCCTTTTTTAGGTAATAAAGCTGTTGCAATCAAAATACCATTATAAAGAAGAAGCTGAAATCATCTGTGATAAAGTTCAAGTTAAACTCAGCAAAGAAAGCTTTCATCCTTACAATATGTGCATTACAGACCTAAGGACTTCCCACTGGGAAGAAGCAATCCAGGAAACAAAAGGTGGCAAGGACAACAGGAGATTGGCTGAGGAATGTTATTTCTTGTGGAAATCTACACGTCTACAGCACATGACCCTAGCAGAAGATGTTAAAGCCATGCTCACAGAACTTCGCAAGGAGGTCCGCCTACTTTTGTTAACAAATGGTGACAGACAGACACAGCGCGAAAAGATTGAGGCTTGCGCCTGTCAGTCCTACTTTGACGCTATTGTTGTGGGTGGAGAGCAGAAAGAGGAGAAACCAGCACCTTCCATATTTTATCATTGTTGTGATCTTCTTGGAGTACAGCCTGGGGACTGCGTGATGGTTGGTGACACATTAGAAACTGATATACAAGGAGGTCTCAATGCGGGGCTCAAAGCTACTGTCTGGATAAACAAGAGTGGAATCATGCCACTAACATCTCCCATTCCACATTATATAGTTTCTTCCGTGCTAGAGATACCTGCTCTCTTACAGAGTATCGATTGTAAAGTCAGTTTGTCTGTTTAAAACACATCAAAAAGCACAATTTCAAATTTACTCAAATTAGAGTATTTCCAGGGTTGAAACTAAGAAGACTTAAGCCATTTCATCTATTTTGGTCCAGGTTCTAGAAATAACTTGATTTAGGATTTAATAGCCAGTTTGTGAGGGTCTTTGCAATCCAATTGCTCTTTACAAGGGACCATTGACTTATATTTATATCTGAAAATCCAGATTATGTTAACACAGATTATTTCTAGTGCCATAGTTCAAAAATTTGAGGAAATACATCTTTTTTTTTTTTGTCTGTAACAAGATTTTTAAAAATTGTATTTTTAATCTTTCAGTATTTTAGCTTCATGGTACAGAGCAGAATAGCTTACACCTGGATATGCAAGTACAGGTTGTATGGCTTAAAAACATATTTTTAAAAAATAGATATTCTAAAACATTTATAGTAGAGATTTATCAGAGCAGTTGGATCTGGTTAATATGAAATAAATATTAAGTGATGGCAAATCCATGCATTTCATAGTAAAATTATTTGGCATTTTTTAAACATAAACCATATTTTTGCCTGCTTTGGGTGTGTGCTTTGTTTTCTACTACTAATCTAATGCTTCTGCATGACCTTTTTTTAAAGGAAATGATTTTTCTGTGGTATTTACATGATTAATAGATTGTTGGGTTTAAAAAACCAGTTGTTAAATCAACATGTGGTGTTTCCTTTCTGTGACACTTTCACAGCTTTCTAGAACTGGCTCATAGCTTTCTTGTAGTTGTGCCTCTTAAAGAAATATTTATCCTTGTTGGGGATAAATGCAAGCCACTTGCCAAAAGTCCTTTTCCTCCTATGAGTCCTCAAGAGGAGAACTGCTTTCTTCCATGCAGCCTAGCTGTGAACCCCAGCCCATCAGTTCTCTTTTAGCTGAGTAGTTTCACTCATATTTAAAACTAATAAAAAAATTAAATTTTGCTATGAACCATTTGCACCATGCCATTTTAATATTTGATTGACTGTATTAGAGTTGCCCTCTGCCGTAAATCTTTTCCACATATTCAGAACTATCATGGTATCTAATTCAAGGTATATTTTGAATTTAATTAATACCTCCATAGCATGGCATCTACTAGAAGTTTTCCCAGAATTGTTAGGATAGCCTCATGATTCCATTAACCAATGTTGGAGTGAAGCAGTTAATAAAAGAAATACTACTTTGTTGCATCCAGCTGCAGCTCTAGATGGAGGGGGGGGTACTGTGACAGCAGGACCAAGAGAGGATGGAGAAATGAAAGCTGAGGTCAGGTGGAGCCCTCCTAATGGGAGGAAGAGAACTGCTCAGCCACCTCTGCCTGTATTTATGCATTTGCCAGGTTGATGTCAGTTTCAGCCCCTCTGCTTTGCAATTTTGTATGGCTTGGGGCAGTCCTTCCTGTTCTGCAAGCTGGAAGAACTTCTTTAAGTGGAGGCTGCAGATCTGTTCTCAGGGCTGGCCTTGCTGCAGCTTTTCCTCACACTACTTGGGGTTGTGTTTTTTGTTTTGGTTTTTACACTAGGTACTAATGTACTAATGTAGGATATTACACTGTGTTTGGATGAATATAGCTGTAACTCTAAAAATGATACTGTTCTAGACAGTTAATGTCTAAGAACTGAATTCTTTGCCTTGTGCAGACATCCTTGTTTACGCTGAATGTTGATTTTTAAACATGGAATTGTGCCTGCACAGCCTTAGAGAACTACAGTGAGCTAAAGACCTGTGAACAGGGCCAGGGATATAGCTCCGTGGTGTAAGTGCTTGTCCTAACAAAAAAAAAAAAAAAAAAAAATGAAGACTGTGACCAGGGTATGTTTATAATTCCAAGTGTGATGCTTATATGTTTTGACCAGATTTTAGCTATTTAAAAGTCGTTAAAATTTTGGAGAGTTTTAGCAAAAATCATGTGCATGATTTCTCTAATAGATGAATTGACCTGCAGGCTAAGGCCTCATCCTCTTAACTGTCCCACAGGCTGGATGATGAAGGGAATGCATTCATTGTGCTAACTGGTAAATGTTTGTCATTCCCGTATCATAGTCGCAGTCTCAGCAAAGAAGCTCTGGAAAGTTATGTAAGCAGTTCTTCACCCAAAATGATCTGTGGCAAAGTTGGAGATGAAACATCCTTGTATTGCACATCCTTGTGTTCCACAGTCCATTTGCACCTTCCTTGGGGAAGAGCTTTGTGGTTTTCTACCTTCTGAGTGAAATTTCACAGAAGAAATTTTAAAATTTTGGAATAGATCTATGGTTTTTATTAATGTTTTTGGTTCAGGATAATATTCGTTAAAGATTAAACAGCGAAGCCAGTCGTGGTAGCACAAGTCTGTAATTGTAGCACTCTGGAAGGAGGCTAAGGCAGGAGAATGACTGCAAATTTGAGGCCAGCCTGGGCTACAAAGTAAGTTCAAGGCCAGACTGAGCTGCATAGTGAAACTCTGACTCAAAAAAAAAAAAAAAAAAAAAAAAAATCAATGATAGACACAAGTGGACTAACACAAGACGGCCATGTCCCCAGGCAGGGCACATGTCTACTTCATGTACAGACAGCTAGATCTGGGAGTGCTGTGTTAGTGCCATAGGGAAGTAGTTTCTTGTAAAGATACTTGGTTCATCTCTTTCAAACTTTGCAACCCACAATAAGCATGTTCCAGGGCTAGGGATGTAACTCAGTAGTAGAGTGCATGCCTGGTTTCCATCTTCAACACCACTTTAAAAAAAAAAAAAAAAAAAAAAGACTATCACAAACTTTTAAACACACTTAAATGGTGATCATATTTATATATGTATATTAAGTGTAGAACTCTACAAAACATCCATACTGCAAATGCACATTTTTTCATTCCACCTTTTGAAATTCAGAACTTTTTCATATTTGAAAAAAAAAACACTACTTGAAGTATGTAAGTCAAAAAATAGCAAAACCTACCTTCCGAAAAGCCACTACATTATCAGTGTATCTGCGTGTTGAAGTACAACTGTAGGATTCCTTAAATTCAGGAGATTTATCTCTGCATTGCAGCTATAGGAAGCCAGTCTGGCTGAGAATAATTTATGGAGTAAGAAGCTGTTCCTGGACTCTGAGCCTTGGAGTCTTGGCCCTGCTCCAGGTTGACCTGATGGTCCTGCCTGGTGCATAGCCGATCCTCGTAGTTCTCTGCCCTTGGGTTGGATTTCACATTCTCTCTGTGTTCCCTTTTTTATTCTGTCTTTGTAGTATGCATGCTTGTATAGGTTCTCTATAAAGGTATGTGGGAAGTAAAAGTAATACCTGAGAAATGCCCTTCTGTGTTTGGTTAGCAGTGTCATGAGCATGTCATAGGTTTAAGTCTGGTTTTCCTAGCAGTCATGTGTGGCCAGTTGTTTTGTTTTGTTTTGTTTTTTTCTCTTAGAATCTTGGGTCGTCCCCCGCCTCAGTGGCCCTGGTATGTGTCTTGGCACAAGTATATTTTTATCCTTTGTACTTGATGCTCTGAACCTTTTTAGTCAAAACCTTACATTCTATTTAACAACTGTCTTCCCTGTGTCATTTTTGTGGGGATCCCCCTCCTAAATTTCCCTTTCTGGAATTCCTATGCAGATGTTAGACATCCTCTACTCACCTTCCACTTGGTTTTTTCTCTATTATTTGTTAATTTTTCTGAATGGTTTCTTTTCAACAGAGGGTACTGGGGACTTAACCCTGATCTCTCACTCATGTTAGCCCTAGTACTAAGCTACATTCCTGTTCCTTTTTTTTTTTTTTTTTTAAGACAGGGTCTCACTAAGTAGTCTAGCCTGAACTTGAACTCACCATGTATCCCTGTCTGGCCTTAAATTTGAGATCTTCCTGCATGAGCCTCAAAATAATTGGGATTACTGGTATGCACCACCATGCCTTTCTTCATCTTCCAGTGATTGTGTTGGAGATTTTTCCCCTGACTACTATCACATTTTTCATTTCAAAAAGCTTTTTAAAATGTTTTAAATGCTTCTTTGCTCTTTTTTTTTTTTTTCTCTCTGAGAAAGTCTGACCTACAGATGGGCCCCTGTATTTGAAAGATTTGGTTAGCGGAAAAAATCTTTTTTAGTATAGTTTACAAATGGTAGTGTCTAATACTTATGATGGAAAATACCCTTGTGAAATCTTAGAGAATTGATGCTATATTTGATGTATCAACAACTAGCTGAGCAGTTGAGGTACTTCACTGATAATTCGAAAAATCTAAGAATGTGATGCACCTTCTTCCCCCCAAATCTGATCTATTCAATTGATAGTAAATTTACACATTATTTCAGAAGTCCATAATCCCCCACTCCAAACATACACTCACCTCTCCCTACCCATAGGTACTCTGAAATAAAACTAGTTAATTTGGTGGTATCTGATACCTTCATCACACTTGCTCAGTTCCTACTAGTAAGAAATGTCAATATAATATTTGTGTACATCTACTAAGCTCAAAGTCTGTGCTTGAAAACATAGTGAAGTCAGTCCAAAACATTAATAACTTGGAAAACTAGATGGCATCATTATCCAAAAGACATTATTAAGGCACTTACTTTGCATCTCTAAAAAAAAAGCTCTTATTTACCCTGAGTTTGATCTCCAACACCACAAAAAAGTGCAAAAGGGAAGATAGCTCTATGGTTGTATTTATTTAACTCCTGGTAAGGACCAGATCTTGTGGGAGATTGGAGGGTTGAACTCTTCCTCTATGAAAGACAAACAGCACAGGGCAAGGCAGGACGTGTAATTCACTTGCTGTACACTGAGGCCTTCTGTTGACTAAAATTGTTAGTATTCAAAGGATTTTTCAACATTGTCTGATACCATCCTCCCAAATGACATGAAAGGCTCACTGGATGAAATGGCCATGTAAAGTCCATGATGGTGATGTCTGAGCCACACTGGCTCTGTGCTGTCCAAGTCCAACACATCCCATGTGGCAGAGTAGACAACAGGGTTATGCTTGGTATTCCAGGTAAATGCAGACACTAGAAAACAATGTGAAACAGTGTGCTGAACATGCATGGCACTGGAGTTAGAACAAAATGGGGCTGGGGATTTAGCTCAGCGGCGTAAGTGCCTGCCTTGCAAGCAGGCAGTCGTGAGTTCGATCCCCGGTACCGATAAAAAGGAAAAAGACCAAAAAAAAAAAAAGAACAAAATGAACTACTCGCTCATCTGCTGTTCTTTTAACACCAACTCAGGGTCAAGTTGGAAGCTTTTCTTCCAAGCTAGGTGAAAACTAGGCCTTTTCTGCTGACTCCCACAAGATAGCTGTGTGCTCACTGTAAGTCTGGATTTAGAAGTGTGAGAGGACAGCCCAGCAGAGTGGCCACACTTGTTTATGCAAGTGTGGGCCTGCCCAGCACCCGCCTGCCCCATACTGGCCTCTGGGGGATGAAGGATGGAGGGATGGCCCCTCCTTCCATACCCTCCCCTTCCTTATAATTTAAGGAAGCCATGGGAAGAGAGTAGGGAATCTCACTTTTTGCTGGAGCCTACACCTGCTGTGAGTTGGCTCCACAACCTCCAGACCCTACCTGCCCACCTTG